AGGTTGCCAATCAATGTAATGCTGATTTATCCCTGCAGCAACAGGAGATTGCAAAGATCAGTGCTGTCTTGCTGACTTAAATTTGAACTATACCATAAGCACCAATGATGTAGTAGATAGCACATAGAAGAAGGGGAAACATGTACTTCTGGTTTCTGTCCAGACCAAACCCTAATAGGCTGTAGTTACTTGATATAGTAGTGTTGCCAATCAATGTAATGCTGATTTATCCCTGCAGCAACAGGAGATTGCAAAGATCAGTGCTGTCTTGCTGACTTAAATTTGAACTATACCATAAGCACCAATGATGTAGTAGATAGCACATAGAAGAAGGGGAAACATGTACTTCTGGTTTCTGTCCAGACCAAACCCTAATAGGCTGTAGTTACTTGATATAGTAGTGTGCAAGTTCTTAAACTATCCCTTTCCAATGCTAGTGGAAGCAGTAAAACTCCAATATTTAAAAGGAATACTTTTCTTTTTAAAAATGTGTATTTAAATAACAATAGGTTTTGGGGTAATTTTTTCAACAAAAGCATTTCTTGCTATCTTTATAACATCTGTTTTATTAGCATACCACTATCCCAACTTGTTTTTCAAAGAGAAAAAGATCAAGAAGCAACCATTTGGATTCCCATCACTTCTTCTTGTCAGGAAATTTAAACTAATCCTGATTATACAAATGTACTCAAGTTTTGAAACTGGAGTATTTTTTTTCTATTAATAATTTGTTTAATTATGTTTATTCACATCTCCTAGTTACCTATCTTCGATATTTTTTCAGATGAAAGGAATGGACAATTGATCAGAATCAACCTGACCAATTCATGTGATGCTAAAAATCCCAATGAGCTACATAATTTGCAGACAAGCCATATTTGTAATAGAATGACTGAACTTTGACTCTTTTGTATGATTACATGACAATCATAGCACAAGAAACACAACAATTTAAGGTCCCAGAGCTTGATCCTGTAGTGGGAAGGTTCTAAGCACCTTTGTTTTGCTCTTTGCAAGTTCTCACACCTTGCAGGATTGAGCTATATTTGTCTCAGGTATATAAATACTGAGTAACCAAACTTTATGAGAATGAAATCACCATAGTGGGGATCCAAGAGACAAAATTGACCCCTTCAGTCTAGGGCCAGGGTGCAGCCAGGAGCCAATCATCTTGTGGCTATTACTCCCCTTTGGCTACAGCCTCTCCATGACGTTTACATGGTGTGTTAAGACCACTCGATCCATGTCAACTTGAATGCTATAGCCCTGCACTGGGCCTACTCTGTGGCTAACCCATGGAGACTTCCTGTGAGTCTGTTCCTCTGGTGGTCTTCTGTGAAGCTAGAATATGTGGGTGTCAGTGGTGCAGAAGGATCATCATCAAGCTGAATTTCATCGGTTGTGTGCAAGGTCTACTCAGAAATTTAAGTGCCCCAGTCACTCTGCCACTAAAAATGCAATTATCAGCATCACCAACAACAATAACACAGGAGCATTTATACTTCTTATAATAGTCCCTCTGCTACTACAGTGCGCATGTGATAAATCAATGAAATCTGCCCTTCAAGCCAGGTGATGATACCTCAGTGTTGTTAAAAAGGAAGAC